TTCATTTTCCTTCTTTTTCATAGATATTTCTTTCTTTTTCATCTTGCCCTCATCCATTCTTTTTACTTTTTTGCTTCATATTTTCTTTCTTCAGCTGCTTTAATTTTTCTTCTTCGACTACATTCGTTTTTTTTTCTTTTTTCTTTTTTCGATAGATTTTTCCTTTCTGCTTCTGCTTCGTCTTTCTTGTCTCTTATTTCTTCTTTTTTTGTCTGAGACGCTGATTTTTACTCTCCAGTGATCTTTGATTAAAAAAATAAAATAAAACGCAATATCAAACGTTATTTCTTTCTCTTCTCATTTCATGTTCATTGATTGTTTTCTTGGTGGCTTTATTGCCATCCTTGCGTTTAAAGCATCGAAAGAAATATTATATTCATTTTCACAGAATGATAATTCTATATACCGTATTTTAAGATCAGCATCAAAAAATCTTGTTATACATTTATTGACACCCAAATAAAAAATATGACTCTTTCATTGTCTCTCTAATTCTGTGATATCTATCTATCTATCTATCTATCTATCTATCTATCTATCTATCTATCTATCTATCTATCTATCTCATCCTCTGCATATCTATGTATATCATTATGTATCTATCTATCTATCTATCTATCTATCTATCCCCCACATATATATATATATATATATGTATGTATGCACGTATATTTATTGTGCATTGTAGCATTAGAACCATTATAATATTGTCTTAATGTTCTGAACGCGAAAATTTTACTCGTTGTTCTTTTGAATTTATATATATATATATATATATATATATATATATATATATATATATATATATAGATAGATAGATAGATAGATAGATAGATAGATAGATAGATAGATGTATGTGGGAGATTGGGGGTGTGTAACGAGTGTAACGGTAAATGTGTCCAAATCCTGTAACAGGATAATTGTCTATCACCCAAAATATTTAATATCTAAAAATATCACTAAACTTATTGAGTTTTTCCAGGTCTTTGTATAAGACGCTTAGCCATCTTGACACCATTTGTCGTTAGAATCACTGAAAAACTCTTTCAGACATTCAACTAGACAGAGAACATGTTAAAATCTTTTTATCTCAGCCTCACTGTTTTCCCAACCGAGCGATGCTGAGCAGAAAAGGAACATTCACGACTTCTGCAATGGTACCAACATTCATATTCTATCTTACATCTTCAAAGTCTATCCAAGAACTATCAAGAAAACGATGAATAAGTTTAGAAAAGAGGGAACAGTAGAGAGGAAAACTGTATCAGGAGGTCCTAACAGGAAGAGCGATCCTCATTTCAACTTAGAGATAAAAGACATCAATAAGAAACGATTCAACTCAATCCATAAGACGTTTGGCACGTGAGAGAATAGTTTCAGCTATGGCAGTTCAAAGAGCAGTGAAAAAACTTGAAAATCAAATCGTATGTGAAAACTGTGAGTCAAATTGTTACACTAGGACAGGAATTTAGAAGGTTAGAGATAGCAAAGATCATCGTGAATAACTTGAAAAATGATCGTGGAATAACATATTCGTATATTTGGAATTTATTTCAATACTTCATAAGTTTCCGATCCTTAACTATGATTAATTAAAGATGAACACGTCATATTCATTTATGATCGATTTTATCACGATCCTTCTGTTAATCTTGGAGAGTAATTATACATTCTTATTTCTCCGAACAGAGTCCAGTAGTGTTATAAACAGCTCGGAGAATTCCAGTAAGATATCTTTAATCATTTCCGAGATTGAAAAGTTCAAATCTTAATGTACCTATAGAACAATGTTGTTTTTACACGATTTGGACAATTTTGAATTTATACCCGATATATATATATATATATATATATATATCCGAATGTAATGAGACCGAAAGTAATATACGTTCACAGCATTAATTCAAGAGAGGGCTCAGTACCAAGCGTAGAGCATTAATTATTTATTACAGATTTTTATATACAAACAAAAAGAACTTATTCAGTACAAAGATGCATTCTTGTTTCGATGCGGCAAATTACAAGCTTGGGCAAAATCGATTTCAGCATTTCGTTGAAGAATCTTCCCATCTCAAACAATGCAGCCGCATCGAAACAAGCATGGATCTTTGTAGTGAGTAAGTTGTTTTTGCCCGTATGTAAAAATTATATATATATATATATATATATATATATATATATATATATATATATATATATATATATTTTTTAAATTAAAATTGTATGTGTTTCCTGTTTTATCAACAATACATAAATGTGACAGCATTAAGATCAATTTGAAAATAAATGGACAATAACCCACGGGAAATAAGAAAATATCGATACACTCAGTCAAAACTTACATCTTAGTGGCTTTATTATACCTTGCTTACTAAATAGCTACTATTGACCATCATATGTCGTTACTTTTTATTTCTTTACGATTTTTTCTTCGTGTTTTTAATTCTCGCCTTCATTCCAATTCTATTTTTTCTTCTAATTCTGTTTCTACGTTTTCTTCTCTCTTGTCATTTTCGCTTTTACCATTTTTCATATCGTCTGTTTGTTTCCATTTTGAGGTTATTTTAGAATTCTCTCTCCTACTACTCAATACTTTCGAAGATTTTCTCATTACCGCCATTTGTCTACATTATTTAGTGAAAAAAAACAGCACGGCAGCACAATGACACTGGGTATGTACCATACCTGATACACACATAGGCGATTATGTATCTTTTTGATACATGACTGACGAAGCAGATTTTTTCCCCGCAGTAGGTTGCCATTTCTTTCTAGACCAGTCGCCATCCAAGGCTATAGAACCCGGCCTGTCCTGCTAGCTGGGGGAGAAGGAGAAGTGGATTCATAATTTTCCCAAGCACGTGAGTGAAGGTAATGGATTCAACTGGAATTCGAACTCGGCTCTCCGATTCCGCAACCCGAGCCGCTATCCCTTACTCCACCGTGCATGCTCGGGTAAAGATATACAATACCTAATATGCTCATCAGAACATATAACCAAGGAGGTGAGGGTCCAATTCGGACTAACATCATTCGGCTAACACAGTCCTTCTTAGACTTCGATTGAGGATGATTCCATGAACTCAGATGCGAATCTCAAGTCTCTTTGAATGCCTCAAACTTAAAAATAATAACTTGTCGACACTTAGGCAATCTCCGCTCATGATATGAGTGATCAAATGTGAATGCATATTCTGTCGACAACCTGAGGTTAAGAACGTCAACTTTGCTGTAGTCCAACATTCCATATTACTTCAAATGAAAGGTTTGAAAAGGAAATACCCGCCACTATTGTAAACAGCTATTATTACTAATGGCAACATTTTAAGTATCCGAAATAAAACAGGTGTATATTTTTCTCTTTAAATAACCCAAAGCAGAAGCCATATGAGAGCCGTGGAAGTAATTCGTTGTCGTTGATAGAAAGTGCAATAACAGCTACTGGATTTGAAAAATATGTTTTCGTGAAAAATTGTTTTAAGAGAATGGTTTTATATATTACAACCGTAAGCAGTTCAAGTTTCTCGATCTATGAATGCTAAATGTTTCCTTGTAACGAAACGGCTAATATTACCAATGCCAACATCTTAATTCTCCGAGACAAAACAAGTATATATTTTTCACTTTAAATAACCTAAACCAGGAGCCATAAGTAAACCCTTGTCAGTGATGAAAACTGCAATAGATGTTACTGGACCTATATTCTTGAAAAATTGTTTGAAGGGAAAGCTTATTTAAATTTCAACCGAAAATATCAGAGGTCGAACAGTCAATGTATACCTAATTTTTCCCTTTAAATAAAAGACATATATTACCATCTGTTGGGGCGCACCCACCTTCTAACTAGTAATGGACTGGTCCCTCTTATATAAGTCAGCTCTGGAGAGAGAGTGGCAGAGCGTCAGAGAGAGAGTCAGCGTTAGCAGTCCAGATAAGCTTACCCAGTACATACCGTTGGACTATAGACTTTGGATATTGTTTCGTACTAACCAACCTTCGTTCTACTAATCACTCTATTGTTAATTGCTTTTATGAATATACCAGTATTTTCCTCTACAACTGTGTTTGTCTTGATTCATACACTGACACGCGGGAAACTCACAACATCTCAACACCATCACCATTAGAGATGAAGAGGACCGATACTACATATTGAACCCAGTACGATGGCCAGGGAGTGACGAGAATGTTAAGTCGTGTAGTACTGGATGCTCAGTAAACCGATGCCCAATGTTTCCTCATAAAGAAACGGTCAATATTAGAATTGCCATTAGAGGTGATGAGAACATATACTACACTTAGATCCCAGTACAACTGTCAAGGAGAGAAGAAAAGCGTTAGTCGTGTAGCAATGGCTATTCTGTCAATAATTACAGATTTTTTTTCTTATAAGGAAACGGCTAATATAGGCCTTACCATTAAGAGCAGACAGTTTAATACTCTTCTTGTTGCATGGAGAGTAGATGCGGATTCCAGTCTTTCTCAAAGCTGTTACTGCGATAATTAATGCAGCAAACTAAGTCGGAATTTGAACTCGGCTCGCCAATTCAACTATCTGTTCCGAATATCGTTCGGCTACCGGCATATTTAATTGGATTATTACTAAAAGGATCTTGCTTATATCTGGTTGTAGAATTTAAAAAAGGGAAAATGAAGATTTCGTACCGAGTAACATCGAGTGATCTTTCCTGTTGCTCTGTGCATCAACTAGTGTCAGTAAACGAATCTTGACACCTGACACTAGTTGATGTCTCCAAAGACTGTGTCATAATTTCTTATTGGTTTCTGATGAAAAGATTGCGCATAATTTTAGTCTTGACTGGGATCAGCAAAAGGCCATATATTGTTCACATTTCCATGTCATTTAAATGGCACCCTCGTTTTACCCATGGCAAGGTCACCATACGTGCGTGTGTCGTCAATTTTATATTCTATATTGGCAAAGCAGGTGACATGAATTCGGTAAAAGATTACAGCGATATTTCAGAGCGAACAGTTATTCACACAGGTGGGAAATGTCGTACAGGAAAAAGTAAAGATAAAAGAAAAAATTGAAAGTGTAAAGAAGTTGATGAAACTGAAGAAAAAGAAGAACTATAATAATAATAATAATAATAATAAGAAGAAGAAGAACTAGAAGAAGAAAAATAAAACTAAAAGTACAAGATGAAATATAATCATCCTAATAATTAGAAGTATATCGATCATAATAAATAATAATAAGTATGATAATAATAATACGAAGAAGAAGACGATGAAGAAGAAGAACTAGAATGGTAATAATAATAAGAAGAAAAAGAACTAGAAGAAGAAAAAGAAGATAAAGGACAGCAACAACAAGTATAAGAAGAAAAAGAAGAGGAAGAAGAACAGGAACTAGAATAATAAGAAAAAGAAGAGGAAAAAGAATTTAAAGTACAAGAAAAATATCATCATCATAATAATAAGTACAATAATAATAATAATAATAATAATAATAATAATAATAAGAAGAAGAAGAAGAATGATAATAATAATACGGAGGAAAGTATAGTGATAATAAGAAATATAATGATGAGAAAAAGAAGAAAAACAAGAAAGAAAACAAGAAGAAGAAGAAGAAAAAGAAGAAGAAAAAAGAAAGAGAAGAAGAAGAAGAAAGAAGAAAAAAAAAGAGAAGAAGAAGAAGAACAAAGAAGAAGAAGAAGAAAAAGAAAGGAGAAGAAAAAAGAAGAAGAAGTATGATAATAATAATACGGAGGAAAGTATAGAGATAAGAAGGAATATAATGATGAGAAAAAGAAGAAAAACAAAAAGGAAAACAAGAAGAAGAAGAAGAAGAAGAAGAAGAAAAAAGAAGAAGAAAAAAGAAAGAGAAGAAGAAGAAGAACAAAGAAGAAGAAGAAGAAAAAGAAAGAAGAAGAAAAAAGAAGAAGTATGATAATAATAATACGGAGGAAAGTATAGAGATAAGAAGGAATATAATGATGAGAAAAAGAAGAAAAACAAGAAGGAAAACAACAACAACAATAATAATAATAAGAAGAAGAAGAAGAAAAAGAAGAAGAAGAAGAAGAAATGAAAGGTTAAATTAAACACTTCAATGGGACATATTAAAACTAATACATACAGAAAAAAAGTCTTATAAGTAAAAAACAGCACAAGTTAGAGAAAGTTACGGCACTACTTTATTTGATATCTTCACATATTTCTTCGGTCGTACGCAGGTTAAAGTCCACATATCCTAGAGATTCTATCTCACAGACAATGTCATAAAGTCTGATGAAAAGATTTCTTCGAAATAATAAAAGGCTCGGAGCAAAATCACCATGAAAGAACTTTAACCATCATCTAGCCTGTTCAGAAACTAGATAGGTGACTGCTTCAGAATACCAGGGATTCTAAACTTGGATGTGCGGGTGGTGTAATGGTTAACAGCGCGGAGTTCAAATTCCAGTCAGTTTCGTTACATTCACTTACGCGCAAATACCCTGGGGAAAGGAAAGAATTCTCCTATTTCCCCCAGGTATGGGTTAGTTAGTAACACGTGTATCAGTAAATAAGTATTATTTTCAAAGCATTCTTAAAATCTAAAAATATTTTCCGGCTTTAAATAACGGGTAAAAAGTTGATAAGTCGTAAAAGGCAAATGTATCATTTCAAGATACAATTTATTAGGAAGTGTTTTTACACTCTATAGCAAACGGTTTACTTTTATACAAATATTAATTAAACATGATTAGATCCATTATATAAATATGGAAGCTTGATTTATTATTTACATTATTCGGATTATTGTCCTCATCTTTGTCGCCATATTTAGTACAACGTTTCGGTCGTTGCACGCTCCGGCCTTCTTCAGGTGGTTGGAATGTCGAACTGAACCATTTATTTCGCTCACTGGGGTAGACTGTACTAGTTCCACGTGCCATGTTTGATGGATGTCAGTTATCAGTTATCTCCTGTTAATTTCACTCTGAAAGTTCTCCACTGCCTTAACCGGGTATTGAACTCACACTCTTTGGAAGCTTGATTATAGTTTAATTCATATTAACAATTATTTTGAGTGTGTGGAGTTAGCATATACATCTCTCGTAAAGAAAAAAAAAGTGTTACTCATATAATTCGGACAGCTCACTCGGATCACTGCTCTGTGGAACCGGCTCCCAAGAGGGTGATTTCTAGATCAAACAATCTTAACCTGTTCAAATCTAGGATTAACCTTTAAATGGATCTTACTATAAACATTGTACAGAGTGAAACTTACTGTAAAATAAATAAATAAATAAAATAAAATGGGGTTTAAAATGTCCGAAATTTTAGCAAGTTTATTTGATACACTGACGCATGAAGTATGCTTGACTTAATCATATCCAGGGTGTTATTCTGGATTAGATTAAAATTTACACGGAAGACATTAATTTGGGTAGCTGCAGTTGTTACCGGTAGGAAACACTGTGCGCCTGGACTGGTTGACATATCGAGTTATATTCTATCCTGGTATTTATATAGTCACGGGATTGTTAATATGATTAGGTAAATATTTAGTCACCATTATGCCACAGGAAATAAGACTTTGGTGAGTAAAAGGATTCTGGAGACTTTATCACACAAACAATATTGGCGGAATCAATGCGAGTCAAGGTAAAAAATGCGTGCACAAAACAATAAAAAACAAAACGCCAATGCATGTATTAACAAAAAGAATTACAATTACACTGAAAAAAGAAATCAATTACAGACCAGTTTTATAGAAAACACTTAAACTAGAGATTTCTGTTTTATATTTTGGGGTGGGGGGATTTGTGTGTGTCAACGTGATAGACAAGTGTGTGAAAGAGTACCCAAATCAAGAGAGAAGTCCATGAACGCGTCCTGGTGGGGGATAATTCTTTCCAATATGAAATTACATCTTATAGCCTGAAACTGGAAATTAAAAATAAATTCACTTTTTTATAGGCATTAGAGGCGCACCATAGAGACGGTGTTTCAGCAACGTCAAGGGGGATAACCATCAATATTATGGTAATCGGGAGAACGGATGGATATATTGCCTTCTCACCTGGTGCAACTCACGAATGTAACTCCTCAGAGCATTTCAATAGTATAGCTATAGTATAGCGAGTGATTTGCGACGTTTCGTCTGCGGGAAAGAGGCTGTAAATTATCATCCACAATGCCACGTAGACATTTTGAATTCGATCAAGGATAATCGTCATGACTGGACAATTCTTGCCAAAATCTATGGACTGTTCTAACTCTTATAAAAAAAATAATTAGCTATGGTTCATATATATGTGTTCCACAAAACCCAGAGATGGATATGCAATGTGATCTGGCATCTCGTCTATAGTCACCTTCTCACAGACGTGATGTGGCTGCCATCTGTCTTTTTTCTACAAATATTTTCACTTGTACCCCAAATGCATGAATTTCAGCGTGCTACTAGTTTGGCATCTCGGTCCCAATTTTTCGCTGTCGAAACAGTTAGACGGAACCGCATCTTCTACTCTAGCAGGTTCTTCTCTCCCACTTCCCCGCTAATGGAACTCCTTTCTTCTTGTTTCTCTGAGAGTATAATCTTCAAATATTCAGATGTAATATCAATCAACATCTTCTGATGCCTTGATCCTGATCGCCATCTTCTCAATAGTATTTCGTCAAACACCCTTCTTTACTCTTGCTCTCACTGTCTGTAACGCTTTGCATGCTAGTGGCTCTCCCGGCTTGCTTGTGGGGAAATACTGAAGAAGAAAAAACAAAAAAAAAAAAAAAAAAACAATACGTCCCTGGTAAACTTCGGTCCCAGTGGACGATAAAAGCAAATAGTCTTATTGCGTCTACATAATGACAAGATGAAATGTAGTCTGTGTGATAATGGAAGACAGCTGGGTTAACGCTATTATGAAGCTATGTTTTTTTTTTACGATAAAAAGAAAATTAATATCAATAAAGCGCTATAAGTTATACAACACATATTATGTGAGAATATAGATCACTGGAACAAGTTTTCAAAAGCTAGGAATTATATCATGGAGTTAAACTGAAAAAATGGTAAAACTTGCTGGATAACAGTATTATGCATTTTCGTCATTTTGAGGTTAAAAATAGTTATTAGATATCAATGATATGGACAAATAAAAAATAACAACGTTTATATATATATATATATGCATTTGGAAACTAGAATCAATCAGCATGTACCTTCCAAAGTACGACTTGGTAAGATAGATAGAATATGATATCTTCCCCCCATGAATATGGAATCGGCTATTGCTCAACATTTAACTGAGAATATAGACTGCGCCAAGTTGTTTAAAAAACAGTGGTTTAAAATTATTCATACAGCCGATTCCAACAATCATTTGAAGATTTTGGAATCGGTCTGCATAGGATTAAGAAACCTTCTCTCTGCCGGCAGAAAAAGAATTTGTAAAGTCTCTTAATCTGTTGAGGGATATTTTATTTTAACTGTCCTCGCTAATTTATTTACACGATTATTTCCCCTCCCTCGTTACAAATATATACACTTGTTTGTTATTTTAGTTTAGTTTCCCACCTCTTTTTTGCTTCATTGTCGTTAATATTCTTTTCGTTGATCCAACGATTGTCTCCTGATAAGATGTTGGTTGAAATGGCCTTAGAGACTTTTAAAATTAAAATCAATACATTCCTTGTTTTTAAAACTATATATAAATTTTGTACCTCTAAAAAATTTGTTTACACACACATATATATATATATATATATATATATATATATATATATATATATATATATATATATATATATAGCTAGCCACTAGCATTTGAGGATACCTGCCTACTAGGGCGGCTAGCCAATCCCTATTACAGACGTTTGCTCAGGCGCATTTGTGTTATTTAACATCCACAGAAGCCACCTTGGTTTATATTGAAACAATGCTGAAAAGACCTTAGTTACAGTTTCTGGGGAAAAAGCGTGTTATTTAGCCTGATCAACAATTTGAACAGACCCAGCACTCTCAAGTCCTTGGTCACGATCACTTGTGGCTTCGTGCTAGCACTGCTATCGACGGCACCCAAAGCTTGGGTCTACCCGTTGTATGGTTTTCAGACACTTTCCAAAGGCACCACACGCTGAGTTCGACACCTCCTGACACCGACAACATCAGGAAGTCTCCTTTCTGACAAATCGACCATGGTGAGATTCGAGCCCGAGTCTCATGATCAGAATGCGAACGATCTAACCACACAAAAGACACAAAATTAATAGTCTGAAACTATTATTTAACACTTTGGCAGTCAATACTTTTATCAATTTTTTGTTCATTGAAGAGTCAAACTTTGAATTGTAGATGGAGTTATGATGGAGATCACATTCATTATTTGTTGTATCAATTCTTCATTGTTGCTGTAGGGCTTTCCTCCTTTGTTTAGCTTCTGCTTGACTATTATCCAAAGGATTCCAATGCAGTTGAGGTCTCTAGATTAAGGCGACAATTCCATAAATCGCTTGCCTTTGAATTCTTTTTGATCTAGTGAGCCAGACAAACCTACCTAGGTTTCACCTAAACGGATCGTCAGGGAAAGTCGGCTAACGAGGCAAAGGGAAACGCATATTTATAGGCGATAGCCAAAATTATACCATGTGACCAAAGAAAGAACCACAAACGCAAACACAAACCACCTGAGTGGGGGTGGGTTAAAGATTTATTCAACAATCCTCGAGATTGATTTGATTATTGGCAAATAAAAAATTCGTGGGTTTTTCAAACGAGTATAGTTATCTATCTATCTATCTATATCTATCTATATATATATATATATATATATTTATTTATATATATATATATATATATATATATATATATATATATATATATATATATATATAAAACGTTGTTATTTTTATTATTTGTCCTTATCATTGATACCTAAAAACTATTTCTAAGCTCAAAATGACCAAAATGCATAATACCTGATTTTGTTAACTTAGCTGCATGCGATGAGATATTGACTTGCATGGAAACCATTTTGAATTTGAAACTTCATCATTTTTTTATTACACCAGGGTATAAACTTTGAGTTAGAAAATTTGCCGTAGTTTTCGCTATTTATTTTTAGTACATGTTCTACGACTCCAACGATGTTATCACCGAT